GCGGGGTCCCGCGCTTCTGAGGCTTTGCTCTGGCTTTGTTATCTCCTGGTGCCCCTGGTCTGCTGGGGACCGTCTCCAGCAGACCAGGGACACCGCGAGCAAAGCCACAGCCGCGGCGGGTTCCCGCGCTTCTGAGGCTTTGCCAGAGCACTATGACTCCTAGATCCCTTTCTGCAGTACTCCTTCCTAGACAATTGCTTTCCATTCTGTATGTGAAACTGATTGTTCCTTGCTAAGAGAAGCAAGCATGACTTTCTTAAAAGGTCTTGAGTTCCCTACAGTTTGTAATCTCTAACTCTAAATCTCTCCCTTTCACATGATTCCATAACAGCTCCACACAGAGCATTTAGTAGATTAACATTTAAAAACATATTAAGCAAATTACACATAAGGAAGCATGTACACACACAGTTTGCTGGGCAATTTTCATAACAATGACTTCCATGCATTCTGTTTGCCACCTATAGGCTACGTCTACACTGGCAAGATTTTGCACAAATACTTTTAACGCAAGAGTTTTTGCATTAAAGTATTTGCACAAGAGAGCATCTACAGTGGCATGTGCTTTTGCGCAAGAGATGTGCTTTTGCGCAAAAGTATCTGTGCCAGTATAGACGCTCTCTTGTGCAAGAAAGCTCTAATGGCCATTTTAGCCGTCTGGCTTTCTTGAGCAAGAAATTCTTGTTGCCTGTCTACACTGGCCTCTTGTGCAAGAACAGTTGCACAGGAGGGCTTTTTCCTGAGCGGGAGCATCATAGTTCTTGCGCAAGAAGCACGGATTTCACACATTAGAACGTCAGTGTTCTTGTGCAAGAACAATCCTATCAATTCATTAGCCTCAGATAATATTTTATTTAATAAATTAATTTGTATTAAATGCAAAACATGTTTTGAATTTTTTTCTTATGCTGCCACCACTTAAGATAATTTTATTAAATAAAATTAAAATGCACCTGTATATATTTAACTGAATTTGAGTTTCCATTCAAATAGCCAGACACACTCACAAGTAAAAAATTAATCTAGTAAATAAAAAATTAATCATTCACAATTTTTATGTATTAAAAATGTAAAAATTAAGAATCTGAATAAATGTAAGATAAGCTATATAACTGCTTAACTAAATACATGCAGATACAGTGTATCTTTCCGGTTAGCAAAAAGAAGCACCACATTTAGTAGAATATATTTATTTGTAAATCAACATGTATTCATGGTCACCGAGTAATGAGAATCAACCTTTGTTCAGAAAACAAAAGTACAAATAATTAAAATCAGTAATTAAATCATTGATTTAAATCAATCTACCCTACCACCCATTGCTCGGGGCTGTGCCTATAGACAACATGTAGCCTTTAATGTTCTCTTGGAGATCCAGCCATAGCTGCACAATACCTGGAACAGAGCCACTATTCCATTTTATTTTCAATTTAAAAATCAAATTGAAATTGGGAACTAGTTATTTTCACCCATACCTTCATTAAGAGGGGATGCCTTCCCTCATCAGCCAATGTGAATGACCCTGCCAATTGCATGTTTGCATTTTCCTTTTAATTGTGCACTATGGGAAGTCTGTAGCTATAGACACCTTGCTTTAAATCAGTGGTTCTTAACCAGGGGTGCATGCACACCTGGGGGTGCAAGATGCCCTTTCTAGGGGTGCGAGACGTGCCATATTTTCATGATATATCTTAGGTTTAAAACTGACCTACTTCAACAATTTTTAATAAGTTGAACATATGTTAATTTAATATTTAATTACATAAAATTAAATGAAATAAATAATTAAATTAAATAATTTAATATTTAATAAGCGAGAACATATTTTGAGAACCAAAGGGGTGCAGGATGTATTAAAGTTAAGAACCACTTCTTTAAATGATCACGTTTTCATATTTTATTCCTCTTCCTAATTTTTCCACCCCACTGTATTTTCTCAGTACTCTGCATGCTGCTGCTCCAGGATCCATGAAAAAAAGCGGGGGTTGGCTACATTATACTAATTATCTAGTACATCTGGAATCTCTAATGTTCTTTTTTGTCTTAGGAAATTCTTGTAGAAGTCGCAGGACCTGTTTTTCCCTCAACCAGAGGCTTACCTGGCGTTGAAGATTTTGGACTAGATGGGGAGAACTTGGTTGTTGTGGTGTTTTCTTTGGGGGAAAAAGGAAAAATTGTGTGTTAGCTATTTGACTCTGATTTTCAAAATAGATAATAATGGTAAAGATAATATTGGGGTGCTGCTGGGCACCAAGAAGGGGGGTGAGGAGTGGCGCTGCGGGACCAACCCGGCATCACCCCAGCTGCTCTGCCTTGCCGCTTCTCCAAGTCACCGCTGATACCTGCAGCCCCAGCTGGCCTGTCGCCGGCAGCTGTGTGGGGCTTCACCCACCTCCCTGCAAAACGGCGGAGGGCTTGCCCCACGCCGCGCTGTTCCCCACTGAGCCCTCTCCCCCCAGACCCCTCACAGCCCCCCTTCTGGAGTACCTCCTGATACTCCAGCATATTCAATAATCTGGCACTCCCTGGGTCCCAAAGGTGCCAGATTATCAGAAGTTTACTGTAATATTATAACGCTAATGCTGGAAGAAGGATAGCTCAGTGGTTTGAGCACTGGCCTCCTAAACTCAGGGCTGAAAGCTCAACCCTTGAGGGGGCCATTTAGGGATCTGGGGCAAATCTTTCAGGGATGGTACTTGGTCCTGCTGTGAGGGCAGGGGACTAGACTCAATGACCTCTCAAGGTCCCTTCCAGCTCTATGAGATAGGTATAAATTGAATCCTAAAGAGTATTAAGCTACTGAAACCAGCTCTGAATGAGAACACCCACACAAGGTTTCAGTTCCCTTTAACTTCACAGGGTCAGCCTAGTGCTAGAATATGGTCTACGTACATGCAACTGTTACAAGGGGAGAGAAAACACATATGCACATAATACAAACTGCTGAGTTTGCACAAGTGACTTGTGGTGGTTACTGATTTTTGTGACTTACCATGAAAACAAACACAATGGAAGAGATCAATGATCCTGCATTGCAAAATGTACTGTTGTTTATTGCTCTAACAAGCATTGCTTCGTGCTAATTATATACACCAATACACAATAAAATACAAGCCAATGTTCTGTAATCCAGGAGGTTTCAAAGTTAGGTCATGGGCCGTTGATGGGCCGTGAGATAAACAAAGTGTCTAAGTGTCCATATGCACAGAGCCTATTTCTAGTCAAATGGAAGCTGCGAGACTCTCTGCCTAATAGGGATGTAAGCGACTGGTGGGGAAGCAGGAGCCGGTACTGGGGAGGGCCATCTTAAAAGCTAGTTCCCCCCTGCACCGTCTCCATGGGGGCAGGGGAGGCAGAGATGTCCCTACTGTTGTGCCTCTCGCTTTGAAACGTACGAGAGCTGAGGCACAGGAGCAGGTGACTTTTACATTTCAAAGGCAGAGGCACAACGGGATAGTGAGTGCCCCCTTATCGACTAATTGAGTAGTCGACGGAAATTCTAGTTGATTAATTTAAATATAACATCCCTAGTGCCTATGGACTTAGATAAACAAAGCCTCTTGCGGCCTGCCAGGAGCTTACCTGGACAGGCCTGCGACCCAACTTTAAAACCCTGCTGTAATTTACTTCAGACAGAAGCTTTAATAATGAAGCTGTCACACCCCGCATGCTTTATGAAAACTGGCTTATGAATATGAACATGCATAACTCAAAAGTTTTATGCTAATATCTCATGTACCATATTTTTAAAGTTACAATTTGCTGAGTGAGTCTATCCTGTTTGTGCATGTAACATTCTTGTATGTTAAGTTAGAAATATGAAGCGTAACTCTGTTTTTAAATCTAAATGTGCTAATGAAGGTCATTAGTGATAGTTTAGGAACTTAATGGCTCAGTACTCGAACCAAGAAGCTGTGAATTAGGGATGTGAATGGTTAACCTTAATGGGTGAGGCTTACCTGTTCCAGTTAACCAATAGGATCTGGAGCAGCTCCCTGATGGCCACAGGGAGGGGGATGCTCCAGCCCTGTGAGGTTCACCACTGGCCTTGTTCACAGCGGGGAGCTTCTCTCCACGCTCACCTTTAATTGGTTAAACATACTGTTTAACCAGTTAACCACCTAAATTTTACATCCCTATTGTGAATGGTCTTGTTTGTCCTGAAAACCCAAACTGTGGTTGGTTCTAGAAACACATGTGATCATTCCACATGGCCCTGGAATCCATCTTGAATCTAGTCCTGGTGGTGGGTGGTAGTGGTGGAGTCTATTTAAGGAATGGAAAGCAATCTATCCTTTGTTTTCAGTTGGCCTTTGAAACTGCCTTGCCCTCTGTAAGAGGATATATATGAAGAGACCTGGAAAGACTGTAGCAAAAGAGTGTTCTTAGCCCAGGTAAAAGAGTGTTCTTAGCCCAGGTAAAAAAAAGATCAACTCTGGCCTGAGGCCAGGAGAGCTGACAGCTTCCAGGCAATATAGGAATGGAGTGGCTCTGCATTCTTGGAAGAGACACAGCCTAGGTCAGAAGGAGCGGGACTGGAGGCAGCCAGCCCTCAGCACTTCCTAGATCATGCCCCTCAGCCCGGCGCTCCAGCCACGATTTAAAGAGCCTGGGGTTCTGGCAGCTACTACTGTGGCAGTGATAGCAGCTGGAAGTCCTGGGCCCCTTTGAATCACCAGGCCCCAGGGCAACTGCACCTTTTGTCCCTCCCCCAGTCAGCTGGCCCTGCAGATAAGAACAACTGTTTAGGGTCAGAATGTGTATTTCTTAGTTCATTAGAATTAGCTGCCCTCTTTTGTTTATTTTAACTTAGTAACTTACTTTGATCTGTGTTTTTACTTGCAATCACTTAAATCCTACTTTTTATATTTAATAAAAACATTTTTGTTTGTTATAAAGACCAGTGTAAATAATTGTTACGTATGAGGGAAGCAACCACTGTGCATCTCTCTCTTTCATTGTTAAAGGGAACAAACATTTTCATGAGCTTTCTTTTTAAAACAATTTTTACACAGTGTAAGATGGATTTATTTGGTGTTTTGGTGTCTTTTGGGGATTGGTTACCTGGATGCTATCAGTAGCCTTATAGCTGGGTCCTCTAAGAGATGAGCTGGTTAAATGTCTGTGTAGCTCTGTAGGAGGACAGTAACCCCAACTCTGTATCTTGGCTGGGGGAGACCAGAGCTTCTGGCCCACCAGGATAGGATGGTGGAAAGCCCCAGATGACAGGAAGGCAGGTTCAGTGGCTTGATCAGCTCACCAGGTGACAATCCCCAGGGAACTTCTGTGATCCAAACCGTCACAGAAACATCCACTCTTATTTCCCAGTAAAGATCTCAGAATGATCAGGCTTGCAAATTAGTGAGGTGAACTTGTTCCCACTGTATTTTAAAGCTCAGGTTCCCATGCAGAGTGCACTAGTGCTCAACATTTATATACTGAAGAAATGGGAAGAATACTTGTTTACAATAACAATGAAATGTACCAGACTGGTTATCTTCACAGCAACATGGGAGCAGAGTTAAAATATATTTTCTAGAAAGGACCCAATCCTGCAGTACTTACTCAGACTAAAGAGTGTAAGAGGATGGGGTGTTATAAAGCTAGTTTTCATTGCAATCCAAAGAATAGATTTTAATTCTGTTAGAAGTTAATTTATTGCAATAGTTTGTGTTAGAAATGTTAAAATGCAGTGAATTATGTAATCATGTAACAGCTGAAAAAAACAGCGGTTATATGGTTACACATGTGGGGGGGGGAAGGCTGCATGTAGCTGTGCATGTTAACTGATGAACCCAGGCTCATCAGTTAACCGTGTAAACTTTCAGATCCCTTGTTTGTGTCTCAGTTAATGTAATAGCCACAATTTATAAGTTCTAGTGATGACATTTATATACATGCTCTTTGTATTTGGCACAAGGATCCGTTTTTACTCATGAAAACGTGTATTTATTATCTGATATATCAGCAATATTATGGACTATTTTTTGTGCTAGTATCATCTGTAAATACATCTGAAAACATGAGTGTTTGTGGTCTGCTCTGCTGAGGTGGATCAGCTGTATCAAGTGGGCCTAGTGTAAAGGATAGAATGTTTCCTGTGCAGACATAAGATGGTGTCTGTCACTATGAATTATTTCCATCTCCTTAAAACTCTTGTGGCCTATACCACACATAGTATCAAATATCTGATACAAATTAACTCAAGTAGACCAGAAACATACTTTCATACACACAGAATCAATCAGTTGTAATTTTATGTGAAAATGGTCCTTGAGTCATTTCCAATAGTTATTTCTATGAATGTCCTGATGAAATTGAGTGAGAGAGTATATGAATAGGAAAATCTTCATGTGTGTTAAACTTACGCATAACTAGAGGGTAGTGCACTTTCTTGCTTCTGTGGGCTAAGCTCGCAGCACAAAACCAGGTGCTTGCATTCTTCCATCCCTACCACAAGCTACCTGTGTGTCAACCTTCTATTTACCTCCATTTTAGGGACTCCCAGCAACCCTAATATCCTTCCCTTACACAACAGAACCTTAGAGTTATAAACACCAGATTTTTGAACTGACTAATCAACCATACACCTCATTTGGAACCAGAAGCATGCCACCAACACAGAGAAATACCACACATAAGCAAATACTGTACAGTACTGAGTTAAACAAACCACTAAAAAAAGGGGAGGGGAATAAAAAAAGATTTGAAAAAGTAAGGAAATAGTTTTTGTGCTTGTTTCGTTTAAATTAGGATGTATTTCTTCTGCATAGCAAAGTTTCAAAGTTGCATCAATTCAATGTTCAATTGTAAAATTTTAAAAGAACAACCATAATGTGTTGTTCAGAGTTACAAACATTTCACAGTTATGAACAACCTCCATTAATTCTGATGTACCTTGGGCTCTGGTTGATGGAACAAAATGCAACAGAATTGTTTGTTGGGCAAAAAGTACTGAGATATGCATATTTCTGTCATTTGCATAAAACAAAGAGGAGCAAAACGTATAATATGTTTTATTCTACATATTCAGGAACGTCTGGATTCAAAAGATAGTGATAGCTGCTATCTTGGCTGACCCTGGGGGACAGAACTTCAGGCTTCCAGAGTTACAAGCATGAGCTGCTACAGATGACAGTGAGTTAAAAGCTCTGCCCCGGGGCTATAATAGGTACTCCTTTTCGCT